GCAGAATCACCAAAGGAAGTGAGAAACCAGGAATATTTCTGTTATGAAATATATTTCCTTCAAGCTATTTTTAACTGACAACCAAAGCTGACATATTATATATAGTAACCTAAGTTCAAATCTGTAAGTGAATGATTTCCAGTATCTATGTTCTATCACCCTGAAGAAATGAACTGTTCTAAAATATTGCTTTCTAAAAGAAAAACTGCTATTATTGTTCCAATAAATAATTATATATGGCTGGTTAATTCCTCAGAGGCAACAGCAAACTGCATGATTTTGAAGGGTGTGTGCATACTGTTTAAAGTACTGCTGTAGCTCAGACAGCACCACTGTTTTCACTGATAAGCAAAATGCACCAGATGGTGAGTGATGCTGCAGCCTCCTGAAGTTCCAAAATAAGACCAGGAGAAATGTTATAGTTAGAAAAGTGAGCAGTGCAGGAGTAGGAATCAGCAGGTTTGGTTTCTGCTGTTCAGGCAGCCACATTAAGTGATCACCATCTCAGTGTATGACACAGGCCCCTCTGTGACTGCAGGGTGGCACAAACTGAGAGCTGAAAGTTTAACAAGTGTGTGGGTTTGAGTTTTTCATCTCTCAGTTTCAAGCCATGGACAAACCAGTGCCCATGTTTTGAGCCAGTGCAGTGTTGCCAGGTGGTCAAGGTTAGGGCATAATCCCACCAACAGCATCCTTGCAAAAGGCAGGAACAGCATCACAAAACTCCAGCAGTTTTTTTTCTTTTAGTGTAAATCAAGTTGTGAAGGAACCATGAACAGGGGATTTCCCATCTCAGAACCTCAGCGAAAAAGGCAGGCTTTGACTGGTGATCTGTGGCCAACAATGAATCCTGGTGGATGGAGATCTTCATCTGCAATCAGAGTTCATTTACAGCTTTTATTACAAGGAAGGAGAACATCATTTGCTCCCTCAGCAATGTTCACTCATTATTTGATGGATTTCCTCCTGTTAGCTGAGGTTGGCATTAGCACCCTATAAAGTAACTTTAAATTTGGTATAATTCAGTAGGGGAGCCCAAGACAATGTCTTCCCTGGCAAGGAAACACTTACATGCTTGTACTATCACATAGTCCAGAGTTTCCACAACAGGATGGAGGTTTGCCAAGTGCACTCTGTGATCACAAATTAGATTTAACAACCTTTATATTTTATGCTTACCAAAGCCCACTTTCATAATGGTATGAAAAAACAGGACCAGTATGAAAAGAGTCAACACAATCACAAAGATTATCAAAGGTTATACAAATCTATTTGAAGAAACAACAAGGTACCAATGAATTTGGAATATGAGTGTCTTGGTCACCTGGAAATTGCTTGCATGACTTCAGTGACACCACATATTCATAGTCACAGCCAAAGAAAAGACATAAAAAAGGCTATTTAAAGGTGTTTTAACCCATCAAGAACTACTTCGATATTCAGAAACAGCAGAAAAAGTCTATGTAGTAAGCATTTGTAATAAGAGAAATTATTTTTTTATTATGCAAATCACCATGCATAAAGGAAAGTATTCCTTCTTCATCCTTGAACATTCCCTGAAATTTAATTTGAAACCTAATTTGCATTCAATTAACATTTTGAAGTTCTACTTACTTTCTACTTTTCTACTTGTCTACATGATTTAAATCATAAGAGCAGTTCTTTGCTTGTAGAACAGCTGAGAGATGGAGAGTGGTTTCTGCTCTAGCTGCAGATACACGAATCCAGCCTTGATTAACTTTCCCTCCTGAATTTGAGAACTCTGCATCTCTCTTTCAAGGCTGGGCACCAAGACAGACCTGAGCCACAGTTCCTGTGCTGAGAGAACCTGCCAGCTCTCAATGCTGCCTCTTCTTGGAGCACTGAAAGAAGGGAATTTGGGAAATTTGCCTACATCCTTCCCTTCTGTGAGATACACATGATTTGACTCCAGCTCAGTGGCTTATAGCAGGGAAAAAACCTGTGTCCAGATGAACATTAGAAAGGGATTTAAATTATTTTTTTCTAAAATCTATCCCACAATATGGGGAGTCTAGATTTGGGGAAATGTGATGAAATATGCCTTGATTTTATGAGCTGCTCAATGGCAAATCTGCACAGGATCCAGTGTATTTTTAGGACTTGGCTTAAATGCTTCAAAACAAACTAAGCAGAAAAACCTATGAATAGCACATTCTAACCCAGGTGATACACTCCTAACTGCATTCTTACACAGCTCTTCATGGAAGAAGTGAGAGTTCAAAGACACACAGTGACTTTGCGTAGGTGAAAAGTATTTACCCAGCTAAAGCTGTGATAGACAAACTCCGGCAACTCCTCCTGGAGTGTTTTATAATTATATTGCCCCTAATTAATCATCTCTGCATTTGTGGCTGCTCCCCTAAGCAGCTACAGAGCTGGATTCATGTGATATTAGCTGAGATGCCAGTTCTGAACTGCAGTGACAGGCTGGTGGACCAACACTCCTTTCTAATATCTTTGGGGGTGTTCACTTCCAGCCCTGGGTCAGGACAAACAGCTGTGGGAAGAAAACATCCATGGCAGATGGCTGTAGCTGTTTGCTTCAGTGCACATCAGCAACTCCAGCAACAGCTCCTCAGTCTGCCCGGCAGCTCTCACTTCTCAGGTGCTAATTAGCATCTCACGTGAGATCTGATACAGGACTGCCACCAACATGGATATTCTTAATATGCACCAACAGATCCTTTGTGATGTGTTAGTCTGAGAGCACAGCCACAAATGCAGCCTTGAAATACTTTAAATATGGTTTTCAAAGGCTCCCAAATCTAGGAGAAAAAATTAGTTGTTTGTACTGTAAAGTCTCATGGGATTTTTCTCTTCTGCTGAGGCTGACATGTTGCAGTTTAATTTGAAAGAAAGGTACATCCAAATTCCCCTTGCTTTCTTCAAGGTTGCTTCAGTGAGCTGTTCATTACTGATTTTCTGGACCAGTTCTTGAGAATGTGTGCTGGGTTAGTCAGATATTCGACACATTGATAATTCAGGTTTCCCTCAGAAAGGTGTCCCTCCACACCACTCTAAAAGTTCTTCCTTCCCAGAAGTTTCTGAGTCATCACTGTTTCCTCATTCATAATTCAAGGATGTTCCTAAGCCTAAATGTCTCACAGTATTAAGACCAGAACACCATAAGCATGAACTGATCACAGGTTTCTTTACATTCTTGTTGGGAAGGATGAAAGTTTGACAAGAGAGTCTCACAGATATGTATGCTTGGCAGAAAGATTTTTGAATGTAGAATCAGAAGAAGGAATAGAAATGAAAGCAACTTTTGATACAGAAGAAAAGAATTGTCGATCCACTTTTACTGGATAACTAAAAAGGCAAAGGGTATGTTAGTTAGAAGGGGTTTTTGTGGCTTAGAGCAAATGATAAACCTACCTCAACAAGATGTTGTTTCCAAGAATAAAGATACCACAGGCAAACAAGACTACCAATGTTGCAAGTAGAAAAAAGGTCTCAGAATTTTCCACTGCAACAAAACTGAAAAACAACTTCTAGCTTAAACCGTAACATACTAACTTTTAGCAATGGGAGAATAGTAACATGAACACGGTAATTACAGTAGTTATGATAGTTTATAGGTAAAAGTTAAGCTATAGATTGGTTCTTCTGTATTAAGATGCTCAGCAAAGAAAAGTATATAATGCATTGTAATCAGAATTAAAGGGTCTTCAGGCTTGCCTGCAGCTGGAGCTGACAGCTGTGGGCACAGGCTCTGTCACCCACAACCTCAGACTGCTGTGACATCTTGGATGTAATAAGCTGCCTGGAGTCCTGCATCCTTCGTTACGGCTCTTACACATTCTGACAATTATATTATTTTTCTCAGTAACTTTAAGTTTATGCCTGTTTAGCAAATATTTTTTTCATTCATTTTCTGCCAGGCATCTACCTGAGTTATGAAACTCAGGCAGGCGGAAATATCTTGAAATCAGGTGATTATATTCTACAGGTTTCTTCCCCTGCTGTCACTATGAGAAACTAAACATGCACAATACACTGGAGTGTGTCTGACAGCCCAAACCAATCTCAAGTACATCTGAAAAGCTACTTTATGCTACATCAATATGTAATTAAGCTCCAGGCCTGTAGATTTTCACAACCATTTCAGTGCCAGAAATGTGTGGGCTGAAATACTTAATCTCATTTGCACTAGAATTCATAACACGGCAATCAGCATTTTGGGAATTTCAGATGACTGTCAGGTTGTAACAGTTCTCACAACAGTGAAAGTAGCTGATGATAGGTCAAATCTACAGATCCTCACGAACAGCTCACACAACAGCCAAGCAACATTTTCTACTATTATGAGAAAATAAGGATCACATAGCAGTTTTCTGATGCATTCATGATAAAACTTGAAGAAGCACTACTTTACCTTATAAGATATAGCTAATACACATCAAGTAATGCATATTAATCTCAATCACACTGAAAAGATACTGCACAGAATCCTTTTAGCTGCCTCTTGATTATCATTTACTAAATCTCAATGAAGCCCAGTTATTTAATTTCTTTTTGTCACAGTTTATTTACTAAACAAAAATCCGTGACAATTGCATGTAGTGGGTTCCTGTGCTAATCTACTCTAAAATCTAACCTAAAATTGTAGAAATGCTATTACCTAGAAGTGCTGCAACAGATAAATTATTTCATCCAGTTAACAGTAATACTTTTCAGTCTCTTTCCCTTTTCTACGTACAGAACACACACACTCACAAAGCAGCACCACGTTGGTTTTACTGAGAGAAACCAGGAATGTCATCAAAGCGATTTCTTCCCTGAAAAACAGCCACGGTCTGGATGATGGATTAACAGAAACCTTTCTGCACTTCACAATAATGTGGTGTTGAGTACTTGACAACTAAAAATCTTTGCAATGAAAACAAATTAACACAAAATATCTTCCCCAAATCCAACTATATTAATTCTAGTGAAAAAAAAAATAAGGAAATCTAAAATTTTAAAATTACACTTACCAGGAACAAAGCTTCCCTGGACCACCTCCTTATAAGCCCACCAGCCTTCATGGATTTTTGGTGAATTTTGTTGAGCTAGAAAGAAATAATCAAAGAAACTATAAAATTAGGGCAAAACATAGGACTTAATTAGCTAAACTTTAGGAACTTTAAACAAGGTACTATTCCTCTACAGAAGAGTCACTCCAATTCCTAGGTGACCTTTATTCAATTTATTCAATCTATAGAATCATGCTATGCATATGTATCTTGGAGAACTTTGTCCCTGTTCATCACACAGTAAAATACACTCTGCTTTGGAAGACTTGATCATGAAACTTAACAATTCAGGTAGAAAATGAGGATTTATAGCACTACCAGTAGCTTCTGTGCTACCTATAAAGTCAATATGGGACAAAAATGCTGAGAAAAAGAGTGCAGAGCAGTCAGTAGCTGAGTCCAAGTTGTCTGACTGAAAAGCAGTTTCTGCCCTTCCTTTCCCGAGTTTCCCAATGATCTTTCACTTTGCATGCAAACAAGTGGCAGAGTGAACCACAGCCAACATTATCTGTGTCTATCACTGCTTCATGTCATCCCACGAGCTCCAAGTTCCAAAACCAGGCCATAAAGGCACAGTCCACAGCTTCCCCAACACTGGCTCAGGTTCCAGTGCTGAGGCAGGAATTTGTTTATTTCCATCTTCTCTTTCTGTGTTGGTGGTTTTTCATGAACAGAATGGGACTGCTGGGATACATTCCTTGACATTTCACTGCAGCATCAGCCTCATTACACGGTTGAGACAATAGAAAGATTGCAATAGCTCATGTCTTGCCAGCACCAGGCAAAGATTTATTTGTTGCAGAGCATTTTAAAAACTTTCTAGCCAATAGCATATTGCTAAAGCTTACAGACAATTGTTCAGGCAATCACCAAACACACACCTGCTTCACAAAATGCTTGCTTGTATGCTCTCTATTAACAATACACAATACTTCATTATTAAGCTTAAAACCTCCGATTATCTTGCAAACCATATTTTTCTACAGTCCATCTCAGATCCATCTCAGCCAAGTGTAAAACTCAAGCTATTGTTCCGTGTCCTTGCTTACTGTACTATTGTAACTTTTTCTACTTTCAGACTTTGCAGCTGCATCTAGTTCCAAGTTTTCTATCCTTTCTGTTTCTAAGGCCTGCTTTTACAGCTTTCTGGAAATCTTTTTACCTTTACTATTTCCCATATTTCCCCCTCTTGGTACAACCACAAAGAAACTCTCTTAACTTGGTTTCTTATTGACTACATTGCATTACAAAGCTCTACTACAATACATATTTCTTTTTGCTTGTTTCAGGCACCTCTCTTACTTGCTTTAAGCATTACTGTTTTACACCACAGCAATTTTTAATGCTATAAAAGATCTATTCAAAGGGTATAAGTCAAATCCAATAGTAGTTACTATTTATTGTTGTAATAAGTCTCGTCCATTAAAGCCTTCAGATATGTCTACACTTGTATCCACTATCTCTGTAAGATCTTGAGAACTTCCTGTGATTTTATTTCCTACATCTCTCTTTTGTACGATAAAAACTTCTTTGATAGTTTTGTCCATCATTTATTGCACACATCCAAGTATCTAAGGTACCACTAGTTCTTTGGTCCAAATGTCCCAATCAGCTACAGCATTGCTCCCTTTGGCAACCTCAGCTGATTTAATATTAAGTTGCTTTTTGGTCAAGGGATCATAATATCTAGGTATCAGCCAATCTTTTATGGGCACAGCAAATAGGTTGAAAAAGGCTTTTTGGAGTTCGAATTGGACAGGCATATGGTGTCCAAGCCTGCTGCCTTGGCTAAGGTCACCCAAACATTTGTTTTTGGTTGTTCCACAGGAAAAATCTGCACTGCAAGAAGTTAGCAAAGCTAGCCAGCACCAGCATAACGCTCAATTTCGCTCTATACCTTTTGTGAGCTATTTTTGGCAAAATATTTTCTCATATATTTCAACTCACAAATTCTGGACCACCCACACCTGTTTCCCCTCTTCAGCCACCCAGGTAACTTGGCAAAAACTTGCTTGTGACTGGTGTCCCACTCAATCTCGCTCTATACCTTTCGTGAGCTATTTTCTGGCAAAAGATTTTCTCATATATTTCAACTCACAAATTCTGGAGCACCCATGCCTGTTCCCCCTCTTCAGCCACCCAGGTAACTTGGCAAAAACTTGCTTGTGACTGGTGTCCCTGACATGCAGCTCTTTCACAGTGTGAGAGCATCTTGGAGCACAGTGCAGGAACACAAGAAAATGTTTCTCTGATCAATATTCTGAAGGTTGTAGCAACAAAAAGCCTAAGCTTTGTATGAGGTTTGCCCTGATAAGACTTGTTGCCTAAATGATTTCTCCAAAGTCCTGAAAAGCCAAGAACAGAAATTGGACATCTTTGCTGCTCTTTGTCATCGCTTCTCTTTGTCTTTAAATTGGAATTCGAGCAAATTTTGTGGTCAAAATGTAAAGTCACTATTAATTGGAAATATTTTTCAAGGGCACACAGACACACAGCAAGACAAACATTCAGCTGATCTCCATAAGAGCGAAGAGCTGATATACCAATATGTTCTGTCTTCACCTGTGGTTTGCTTGCTATGTTCCTATTTAGAGCAACTCTCCCTGAGCTACGGAAAGCTCAGTTACCTTGTGCATCATTTGACTTAGATTTTGAAGTTGTCTTCTTTTTAAGACACTTTCAATCTCTTTCACTAGGGCCAAATTTTTCTTTACATAAATTTGCAGTTACAGAAGATGCCGGATTTACCAGCTTATTGCTGCAGTTTCAATTCTAAATCACGTATTATTTATGAAAAACACAACTACCCTGGGAAAAGTTCCAGCAGTGTAATAAAAATTGTTCCTGTCATTAGAAATTATGAAGAGGATGTGAAATTCAGGCTAAAAGGGATACAAGATAAAGACCATCACAGTGTTCTATGAAGTTACAAAAGAGTATTTATGATTTAACTGACTGTATATTGCAGGAACAAAAATAAAACTTCTGTTAATTAAATGTACTTTAATGGAATGTACTGACACAGAAGGACCTATACACTGCCTTACCAAAATCTAGCCATGCCAGTCAGATTTCTCATTGCAGGACTGATGTTGTTCCATTAACTGAGTTACACTGAAGGCTCTTCCACTGTGCACCCTTTGCAGTCTGCAGATGAAATTGTCCTCATATTTTAGTTTTTATAACATTGCCTGGAGAACTCCAACTCTGCATGGCTTAGTTGTGCTAGACCGCACTGTAAAAACATTTGCAAAATGGCAAATCCCAACTCACAATCAAAGAAGGACCTATACACTGCCTTACCAACATCCAGCCATGCCAGTGGGATGGGGTACCCATGGATGTAGATTTCTCATTGCAGGACTGATGTTGTTCCAAGTGATGTGTTACACTGAAGGGACTCTTCCACTGTGCACCCTTTGCAGTCCTCATATGAAATTGTCCTCATATTTTAGTTTTTATAACATTGCCTGGAGAACTCCAACTCTGCATGGCTTGGTTGTGCTAGACCGCACAGTAAAAACATTTGCAAAATGGCAAATCCCAACTCACAATCAAAATATATGAGCAGAAAATTGTTACTATCCAGTCTGAACTGCAATTTTTTTAATCTCAGCCCTTGCTTTCATGTCCTCAAAAGGAGAAGTTCTTAAAGATTCCAAAATGGCAGTAGGAGAGGATGCTAAAGGGTCCAAACAAAGTAGAGCCATAATTCTTCTACTTAAAATTTTCCAGGAAATTACACTGCATTAAAGTGCATCTTTTAGTCATACACACAGCTCAAATCGGTTCAGCCAGGAAGAGGCAGATGCATTTTAGAAGTAGCTGAAAAAAATCATATATATTTAGAGAGGTAAAAGCAAGCTAAGAATTTGGGTAGGATGGGTATTTTCAAACGCAGCTGCCTAACATCAGCATTCATCAAAATATATACAATTGAAAAATATATTGCTTTTTCCCACTCTGGGGCAATCTGAATGATACATTCCAGGTCCAGAAGAGTTTATATTAAACCAAAACTGAAATATGCTGGCTCTGCAGTTCTGCTTCAGTGGGTTACCCCAATACTTACAATAGCTAATTCCAAAAGGAATAGCAGGAAAAAATATTTTGATGACATTTTTTCATATCTGCTTCATTAGTATGGAACAGGCTGCATGAAATGAGCAAGAAAACTAGATTATCAAAGCTCTGTACTAAATAATTGGATGCCAGTGCAGTTGCTTCAGCTATCAGAGAAGAGCATGACCTGGCATCACTCTGCACATTCCTCAGACATCAGATCCTTATGTCTTCAATTCACATGAAAATGAAACACAGGAAATACAATACCAAACTAAGATGTTGTGCCCTAGCTATATCTAAGGGAGAGCAAGAGCAACCCTAGCAGCACTGTTGATGTACAGTGAACTGAGTCCACTGAGGAAACCAAGAGGCAAGGCAGGTGGGGTTGTGAGGAGGCAGTTAGGGTGACAATCTCCAGTGCTGTGCTCTTTTCTGAACCCTGAAACCTCAACGTTTTATAGCAGTCCAGGCAAAACATCCTGCAAAGTAATGCAGAGAGTGACTGAACACAGATTTCCACTCTGCAGTGCATGTGAAATCCAGCTTGGTGCTGAAGATTTACTTGGATGGAGCCTACAGGGACTTTACTTAAAAAGGGAAAAGATACTTAAAAAGGGAAAAGATTTATAAAGCTCTCAGTTCTCTGAATGCAGAAGGAAAAGGTCTGGTAAGGCCAGGGAGAAAAATTTGTCTTCCAGAAACTTCTAAACCATCACTCCAAACTGTCTTATGCAAGTGGGCAAGAGGACTTATGAAAGGGGGAAAAAGCTGTTCCCTATTTTCGAAATATAATCAGACCCATACCTGGATTAGTAATGGTACAATGGAATATAAATTTAGAATGAACAGCCATATGGACAATCCTTGCTGGGAATCCTATCTGGGACACTCACACCTGATGCACATACAACGCAGGCTCTCTGCAATTGGTGTATTAATACCCATCTGACAGAATGGCTCTGTGCCTGCGT